AGGGTGTACAATTCTTAGTTTTAGTCTGGGGTAGGGATGTAAAATCAAAATTTTAGGTCTGGGATAGGGTCAGGGTTTGGAGGTCCTCGCGGCACCCCCCCCCCCAAGTGGGGGGGCTTTTCCCCCCCCCCCCCCCCCCTTCCGGGCGTTACACATCATTTATACGATGCTAGAAAGATAAAGAAGGATAATTATATACATTTTGTGTCCTAATGATCTCACTTTAGTTTAGGAGAACACAATTTTGCGTAGTTCTACTTTTCTTATGCTATGGGAAAAAGTGTCTCATGAGCCAGTTGCCAGTGAAGCATTTCTATTAAAGTGCCCACTACATCATTAAATAAAAGCCCCTATTAAACGCTCGCATCAAAACCAGTTCTTCTACTACTACTAATATTAGTATGGATCTTCCGTCTTGTAGGTTATTATCTGCACTACTGAAATGTAATCAAGTACTCAGGATAGAACTGAGAGTCACGATGCATTACCACAAAGATCAGGATCAGTACAATGGAGTACTGTAGGATCTTCAGTCTTGTAGGTTATCTGCGCTATTGAAATGTAATCAAGTACTCAGGATAGCACTGAGCGTCATAAAACACTACGAAGATGCTTGCATTATGACCAGTACTGTTCGCTACAGATTCAAAACCTCTAGGTGGCACAATCATTCCGCTTTGACCTGGAGCATGTCGCCCTGTCAATACACGAGCAAGGTACATGTGTCTGTTGTTATTATATCCACCACCTTTAGCATATCCCATTGAATACGATGCATCTCTTGCAAAATACACTCCGTTTCCATATGCAGTCCCTGTAAATGCAAGACATAATAAAATATACATAAATAATCGTTTCTATATGTGGTATCAGGTATAATTAATTCTTGGAGTCTCCGGCTCTGGCTCATTATACATATCGAGATTAAATAAAATTATCTATCTCTCTAGGCTAGTATTTCTTTTCTCTCATTCGTTAAATACCGCTGTGTTTTATAACTAAAGACTCATCTCCACAGGCTATGCCCCGCTCAACAGCAATGAATGTGTAGTTTGATCATTAACGATAACAATGCTTTGAAATCCCACAACATTTCAATTTATGGTATCCGTGAATTGCTGACCAGGCTAAGTCTTTGCAAATGACTGTTCAAAAACATATGAATGCGAAACAGTTGTATTAATGGTCAATTCCCGACTTACCATGAGCGGTTCCACCAAAGCTTCTATTAAATCCTGTTGTATTAATATCGTTCACATTTTTCTCTGCTGTTCCGTGGAATAATTGCTGTTCATTGTTCATTCCTGTATTATCCTTGTCCATTTTCTGTTTATGGACCATATACTGCAGGTACAAGTGAGGGTTTTGTATTCGTTCTATTTTTAGTATATTTCCACGTCCTCCTGTACTTTGGAAGAGGTTGTGCACCTTTTGGTACTCAGCCGAACCATTTGCTAGGTTAAAACGATGCACGGTTACTTCTTTACCACTGCTATCTCGGGGCATTGGGCACCAATCCTTGGGTAATGTAACACCTGAAAGAAAGTCACAACATTCATTATTTCATCTCTTTCTTTAATATAACCTTTATATTAAAAATTATACAAACATTAACAAGCAAAAGAATCCTTGAATGGTGTCCATAGTGATGGAAAGTGAGAGTACATCTGTCTCCTCAGTTGACATCAAAGATAGACACTATTTTACTATTATTTTATTTATTGACACACTTTTATATATTCCATATATTCTTAATTGTATATATATAGTATATTTAGCTTGGACTCCCCGATTAGCAAGGCACGTGTGCCAAGCTAGAAGCTTGAGACTTTAATAAAGTTTATCATTATCATTATTATTATTACTATCCATAAACGATACGTCATAACCGCTAAGAACGTATTGTTGGTAATCATCAAGAAAATATGCATACACCAAAAAAGGGAATGCCATTTTTGTGGACATAAGCCGGTGAAGACAGTGTAGTCCTAATTTACATTTTTGCAACAAGTTTTTTTTTTTGATGCAAGTGTCGCAAACGGTCTCTCATTTCATCTATAGAGCGTAAGACCGAAAATAATGTATTGGTGGTAAGGACCGATCAAGATATTTCATGTATGTTTAAGGTAGATAATAGGTTGTTCATTCATATTTACAAAGTCGTATATTTGTCAATTTCGAAACAAAACCGACCAGGTCAGGCAATAAAAATCTTAGCATGTTTCGAAAACCTCCCAATTTTATCTCAAAATTGCATGAAATTACGAAATCTTTTTTTTTTTTTTGAGAAATTTTGAAAACAACGCTAATAAACGGCAAAAAACGAGATACGCGAAATGAATGCGCAGTAGGAAAGGTCCGGAACTACCTTAAGAAGGATATGTAACGTATGCTATGAAAAAAAACTAAGACAAAGTTACCTTTGCCATGGCTTCCATTCGACTCTACAGTCGTGCGCGTGACAGACATGGTTTGCCCCGTAGACAGTCCTGTTCCAGTAGATGTAGCTAACACGATAACATATTTCTCCCCTTGTACATCTACCGTGACTCGGTTGTCATCATTGGCATGTGCTTTCTCGATTGTAGCGTTTGCGCTTTTGTTGAAATACTTTCTTGTTCCATGCAACTCGTACTGCCATTTGACTGTTTTATAAATCACTTCAGCTTGTTCACTTTCCTTTTCTTTTTTGCCTCTTTCTTGGATCTCTTCCCAGATATCGTTAACGATGGTGCTAACATCCTCTGGATCACCTCGCACCACAATACGCCCTATTCTGTCCTCAAACTTTATACTCACATCAAGTTTCCTGGCTTTTGTTCTTAGCTTGTTTCGCTGTCTTTCACTAAGTTTGGATACAACATCGTTTTCCACTGCCTGTGTCTTACAGGCTTCGGTAAAACGCTTGGTTAAGTCTTTCTGGGCTCTGTCAACACAGTCTTTACTTTTACCAAACACATGGAATTGAATAGCCATTACAGCGTCGTCTAAATGATCAGGTGTCTTGCTAGGAGCGTGAGATTTTTCTCTTTTTTTAGCTGGTGGTATTTTATGAGGCTTACTTTGCTTGAAGGACCCAGTCAAGTATTGCTGGAGTGTTTGCTGGAAGGTTGCAACCATAGGTGCTTGGAAAATCACGATTCTTACTTCCCCAAGGCTATGAAGATTTGGACACACATTGGCTAGGGCCTGAAAAGTAGCCTGAGCCGAATCGGCACTTGACATACCAGACTTTCCAGTTCCAATCGCCGGTAAAGAAACAGACCCAAACCCATGATTATCTGCAGTCCGGAGGCAGTTCTCGATGCACGTTTGGAGGGGTTTTCCTGGAATCACATGGATGATGTTTTGGAACTGTGTTAAGTTTCCTGGTCCAGTTACCACGGCAGATCCCGCTGGTTGTTGACCTTGGTTACTGCATTCCAGCTGCACAGCTGGTCCTGCTGCTTGCTCAATTACTGTGCTTAGCACACCTGCATTGGCCATTATCATGTCAGTACCGATAATGTTGACAATGGCATCAGTTTGTTGCTGGAGTAGGTCACCCTGAAGAACCTGTACTGAAACATTCCCAAAATGGTTCGTCCTGCTCCCAGAAGCGACACCCTGGAACAGGTGACGCATTAGAGAATAAAAACCTCCACCTCTTTGCACAGGACCACTGATCTGACCACTAGCCAGGGTAAACTCTTGTTGGAATGCATTTACCAACTGTGTATCTTGAGCAAAAACAACAAAGCGGACGTCGTTCAAAGAAGAACGTCCCATTCGACTAGTGACATTAATCACTTCACTAATCATTATTTGACAGGCTGTGTTATTAGGAAAACCAAGTCCTCCTGTGCCAATGATAGGGAAGGCTATTGATGTGGCATTGAGCTGCAGTGCCTGCTGAAGACATTGTTGAACTATTGAGCGTAGTTGCTGAAAAATGAAAATGAAACATTTTATCTAAACAAATCTCGACACTATCCGATCTGTTTTAACATTAACGGCGAGGGTTTATAGAGCTGTTAAGTTAAGATGTATTTCCGGGTGCGACTGCTCACAAAAACCGTTGAAATAAAGTGGAAGATGCCCTCAATAATTTGACCTCTACCGTCATACAAATAAAACTTACGAAGAAAGAGTAAGAAAATTTTTTATAGAACTGCTTTTCGCTTTGGACCCGGAAGTCCTTTTTCCATAGGATTGACTATACTTTTTTCAAATTTGATTTGTTCGAAAGGCTCACTTTTATCACTAAAACGACAAGTTTTTCTCGATGACCACACCGTAGGCAAGTTCATTATTATTCAAAAAGCAAGATGGCCATCGGGTTTTAAAAGTGCTTTACATGATTAATATTCATAATCACTTACGAATCACGTGCGTAGACAGTGCAATTCGCATTATTAAGTACTGACTGTTGCATAATGCGCACGTGCCATGTACTTCACAAGCATGAGGGGTGGTTAGTGATGACGTATTCACTCTCGAAAGGCTAATGCCCGAAGCTTGTTCTTCAATGCAAAGTGGTCGTAAGGGTTTACATTTCAATTTCGGTTATCAAGCGGTGCAACCACGGGTTTCTTAGTCATATACTATCATATAGCGTTAGCCTCACAAGACAGTGATTTTTTATTTCAAAAAAACATGGCAAGAAGCACTCACCGTCTCGGCGCCGCCGTTTCCACCATCCCAATTACAACACTTTGTTAGAATTACGTGGTTACAACTAAGACTGCCACACTGTGAAACTACGGACACGCCACCCGCGTGCTGTTGTATCATAGCCACACCTGCTCTTTGGAAGACTTTAGAAAGTTGACCAATAGTGGATCCAACTAGTACATCAGCCTGCAAATTTATTATTTCAATAAATAAACCAAATACTGAAAGAATGAAAGACTCGGTCAATAAAAGATAAAAAGGGGATACAATAATATTCAGAATATTGATTAATTAATACGTAGGGTATACACCTATTCCAATAAACCTTGTCATCGCCAAAGGCAATAGGCGATAGTTCATTCCGACCATGGAAATGGTTTCGTTGAATACAAAGAACATTAAATCAGTCTCAACACTAAGGTCCATGTTCTTGATGACAATGAATAAGAAGCAGAAACGGTAAAGTCATCCCATGCACCTATTCTTGGATCTTGAAATAGGTGTATATTTATTACTCATGGCGGGAACAAAAGATTATTATAAGCCTTTTATATTTACTCACATCATCAGCATCAATGTTGCCCTGTTTCCATGATATCCTTACATTTCCACACGTCATGGTCATGGGACCACTGAGGACACTTGGACTGGAATACGCCTGCCCACTAACATCATCACCCTCATCACTTTCATTTGACGAACTAGTATCCGTACTCTCTTCACTGCCTTGGCCTGGAACATCCTTCTTTGCCCTTTGCGAAACATCGCCCATTTTTTCTATTGCACACTTGTGTTCATGTTCTACAGATTTGATCAACCTGTTTCCCTTTTCAGTAGTAAAAAATTTGCTCAAACCTGACTGTTGAACTTTCAATTCCGTAACGGCAACAGAGCTCGTCAAGACATGCATAGCTGCCTGTACACGAGCAATCCCTATCTTGGTACCAGATATCAAAAACGCGTCCGCAGTCTCGTCAGCTTTGATTTTCACCGTATATTGTTTCAACGAACTTTCCATGTTAGTAAGTTCATCTTTTCTGTGTTCCATGATGTAGCGTCTAACACCCTTATCTAAACAGCAAAACGTTCCAGTTCCAATTGAATTGTCATCTAGGAATTTCTGAATTCTGTCATTAGCACTTGAAACATCTCCCTTAAAACCTGCGATCCACGTATCAAAGTACTCGTTTCTACGAACGTATACTTTGAATTGTTGTTTAACTTCATCACAAAGATCGCGCCATTTCTGTGTTCTGAGAACTTCCATTATGTCCTTATCCACTTTGATTTTGATTTCAGTGGTGATGCTTTTGATAAGATCCGCTGCTTCATCGGCGTCTTTCTTGTTAATTCCAACAACAGATGCAGTGGTTGTCTCCATATCTTCATCAATACAAAACACAGCTTCAAGTTGTTTACTCCTCAGCTCCACTCCAATTCTTTCAAGCCCTTCTTCAGTATTCAGCATCTCAAAAACAGTCTGAGAGAGTGAGATTTTCCTTTCGCTCATCTTTGATAAATATTGGTATATTTTTATCTTTGCTTCGTTAACTTGTTTCTTTGGTCCAGTTATTGTAATAGTACCATTATCTTGATCAATGTCTACTTCTAACTCATCATATTCACACAAATGATTGTCTTTAAAGCCAGTTTTGTTCAGAAGAGCTAACTTTTCTTCTTCAACATCGATTGTTTGTTTTTCATATCCTTTTCTCGCTTCAAGGCTCAGAGTTTCTGCGATTTTTTCCAAAAACATTCTCTTCAGGTCTTTTGAATCATCCTCTCGGCAGATGATGGTGGCTTTGTCCTTTGAGGATGCACATTCTTTGACCAACAACTTTTCCTTTCCGATCTCATTGTGCAGATTAGAAATGCCGCTGATGACAGCCTCCCAATGATTCTTGTCAACATCCAGCTCGATAGTATTGAACTGCTTAGTAAAATCAGTCACAGTTTTTATTCCTCTTTCTTTATTGACTGAACCTTCTTTGGCACGTTTTGGCGTGACATAGACAATCGTATCCCCAGAGGTGTACTTCATGGTGAATCCATGGACCTTCAACGATTCTTTGAGCTCCCTGAGAGAATCTCTTGATGATATGAACTCCATCACGTCTTTGTCAACAGCTACTGCAATGTCGTGTTGAGTAGGCTGCCCCTGGGTAGTGTCTTGGATGGATGGGTTGAACCTTTCCGCTGTTAGTTCTGAATCGTTCAGTTTCAGTGACGTTAAACTCAGAACTTTCTTCATTACTGAGGATTTAATTATAGAAGAAGAAAGTTTAATTCGAAAACCCATATTCTATGAAGCGCAACAATAAAGTTATAGACACAGTCACTGTCCTGTAAAATTACCATTGAATTTCAAAGCGATAGTTCCATATAGCTCTATATGGAACTTAAGGTGGATTTAATTAACCATATTAACTCTGGACGGTTGAATATTACTGACGTAAGGAGCATCGCGCGGTCGCGTTGTTGTTGGTACAAACAGAGTCAAGTACGGAACGGCCGTTAAAGAAGTAACGCTCATAGGCTATTCAAACCGTTTGACCTTTGGAATGAAAACGTCTGAATTACAGCGAACGAAGGAGCACGGACACAAGATAAGTAAACAAGTATAACGTTAATTTAATTCAAATAATCGAAAGGAAAAATAATAATAACCTATAGAAATCCAACCACATTCGGTGTCCTAGTGCCCTTGCGCCGACCATGCGAGGAGCTTTTGTGAGACACTAGATTAGCAGTGTAATGCGTGACTTTGTATGTAATGACTTCTTATCTGAAGCGTGACAGCATCACAGGGTTAGAATTACATATAGAGCGGAATTCGTACAAAAAGGTTAAATGATCTAAAAGTCAAGTAAAACATATAAGTTCCAGCAAGGGCTTTGATCAGTTCGCTCCTTTTTCAATACATATTTTGATAATTATTTACGAAGTAATTACCCCGCCATATCCTTGACCTCGTAGTACAGTACCCTCTTAAACCTGGATTTCCCATTTCATTCAGAAAGGAAAACTGACAAACAAACTCACCATCAGGATCTTTAAACGTGACAACAGCCTCTTCATTCCCTTCCTCATACTGGATACTGGTGACCTCTCCACCGATTCGTGGATTAGAGAAGTAATATTCCAGAGCATCACGGGTAGTGTTAGATGCCAAATTGCGAACCAGAATACTGGAACTGACAGGTACTCTATGTACGGTAACCCTTGCCCCCTCAAGATTGCGGCTCTCCATCTCTCGCTTTGCATTTTGAAAATCTAAAAGAAAATAACCCTATTGTTTAATATTTTTCAACACGAGAAGTAGTATCAATATTGTATTTCAGATATCAAACAATACCATTCAAGGTTCGATCAAGTTTTCTGGTTGTCAAGGGGTGTCTAGATGGTAAAACCATACTTTTCAAGAAATATGACGTTCATTTAACTTCTGTTACCTCCCCGTACTTGTGGGCGAAGTAACTGAATATTTTCTTACTCGATTCGTTTACAGCCATCCTCAATCACACGCGCCCTCTAGCGATTGTTTCATTCGCGACGAAGAAGGTTTTGGTGAAAATTGTCGGAAGCATAAAGCTATAAGGGCGCGTGCCTATAGAATGTCATTTGTAACGACTTGATTGACGTCCACCAAAAGCTTCTTCATCGCGGCAGAAACAATCGCTTGAGCGGCGTGTGTGATTGAGAATGGCTGTGCGTAATCAAGAGTTTTTGACCATTTTGACCGTTAGGGTTAGTTGTTCCTTAATAAATAGATCAAATGAAGAAGCAAAACATTGAGATTAAATACTCACTACTGATCTTTTCAAGTGTCACCAAAGCATTCAGACCTTCGTTAGTTTTAGCAATATCATGGACTACATCACCACTTCTGGCTTCAACGAAGTTACGTATTGTATCAAAAGTTGTTGATGACTTTAACCCTTGTATCAGAATTAAATTTGGTTCAAGGTTTTCACTTTCATTGTTGACATCATCGTGACATGGGACATTTTGAGGTTGAGCTGCTCGTCGTTTTCCTACCCCTCTCCCAGCTCCACGACCAACCCAGTTATGGCCTCCACCATCTCGTCTATTTTGAGCATTTTGGTTCACATTTCGTCTCTGGTTATTGCGTGGACGAGGTTGACCACGGTTCACTCGTTGCTGGGGGCCATCAGTTCGAACGTCCGCCTCACTATAGGATCGAGGAAATACATGGCTGGGTGGAGGATACGCTTTTTCATTATAAGGGTGACCAATCCAATGCGGATGTGGTCCAAAATTAGCATCATTATAGTAATTATCTGCATAAGGATTTCTGCCACCCCCTCTTGGAAAGCCTCTTTGATTTCCACCTCTATTATTGTATCTTCCCCATCCTTGAGGAGGACCACCAGAGTTCCACCCACCGCGTCCCCATGGCTGCTGTGGGTATTCTCCATGAACCCATTGTGGTTGCTGAGGATATTCCCAGTTCTCCCACTGATGACGGTCATGGTAACCTCCCAGCCGACCTCCAGGATGGAAATTGTCACCTGGTTCAGTTCTTTCTTCATTCTCTAGGATTCTTTCGTTTCCTTGTTGCTGTTGCGATTGTAAATTCTTTTTTCGATTTCTTCTTTTGTTATTTCTTTTATTCCTTGGTGTATTATTTCCAGCATTGACTTCAGCACCTCTCTCCTTATCTTGACTTGGTTCTTCATCGGGATTCGGCGGGGGAGAACCGTATCCCTGGTTGCCATTTTGCTTTCCTTCCCACGCTTTGCGTCCTCCTTGGTTTTTCGATTCTTTACAAGCATCTTCTCCGTCGCGATCTTTAAAAGTTCCTTTCAAGGGAGACATTTTTTCCAGACATTCGCTTGCCATTTGAAGATCTTCCTTCACGTCTTGTCGTCCCAAAACCTTTCGGATGACAAAAGGAGGAAAACCTTTGAATTTCTCTTGTAGAATCTTCACTTTTTCGTTAAGGCTTAAGTACTCTTGGTCATCAATCTCCAAGTCTTCAACTGAGTGGTGGTCCTCTCCAAATTCATCTTCATCTTCATGTCCTTCTAATTGACTCCTGTTAACATGCACAGCTGCGTCTTCCTTACCAGTACTTTCATTTATATTCACATATTTCCCTGCAGAATCCTTTTTTTTATTCTTGGGTAATACCGGTGGCTTTTGTTTCTTCGCCTTATTTGTTGTCGATGCTTTGCCTTGCAGTCCTATATTGGATGCCCCTCCAGTGGATGACATAGCTTTCAAGCAGCTACTTGCAGCACGAAGATCTCCCATTATGTCATCTCGTTGTAAAACCTTTCTGATCATCAATGGTGGAATTGACTTAAAACTTTCTTGCAAATGTTTAACTTTAGCGTCGACACTTAAATGCCTTGTATCGTCATCTCCATCACTTTGTTCTATTTCCTCGGAATCAATGTTTTCAAGTTTGATGGCATCTTCAAGGTCACCCTGCAGAACCTCAGAGCCACTGCAATCCTCATTGCTACTTGAGTTTTCCGAGCCGGATTCATCATTTGGTTCATTGACAAATAAGAACTCTTCATCATCAGAACCTTCTTGCCATTTTGATTCTGACATTTCCTTGTCTTGTTTCCTATTTAAAAAATTAAGAAAAGATTGACATTGTAACATTTATGGTGGTCGTTTCGATTCAGACAAAAATGAGTTTTTCAAGAGGTCCTGGTTAGTGTGTCCATTTGCACACAGTAAGTTCATTTACAACACACTAATGAAAAAATGTTTACTTCTATACCTGCACACTACATGATTATGCACAGAATTATTGAAAAGTATTATGTATATTTAATATTATTTAATAAGAAAACTAGTTCTAAAAGACGTTTCGCTGTCATCTCGACATCATCAGGTCTAATGAAAACTGTAAACTCTACGATATATAAATATAGCTAAAGGAAGTAGCAAAGTTCAATGAATAACAATGAAATAGACTAAATTAAGCGGAAAAATGACAATAAAAACACAAAACAAGCAAAAAAATTAAATGATAATTTTCGCTCTAATAGAGTCTGATTGTTTGTTAAGTTCAGGTTTAAGGTCCTTAAACCTGAACCTTACATATAGTAGAGTTTACAGTTTTCATTAGACCTGATGATGTTGTCGAG